TTGTGTGCTATATGTTCTGTAATAAGCCTCCTTGCAAACGACTTAATGTCTCCAAGGAACAGTAACATTTAATTCTTTTTTTTTTTTTTAATTTTTGAAAAAAGATTTTGAAAACAAATGCCATACTATGAGAAATAGCAGGGAGAGAAGAGTAAAATACTGTAACTGTCTCCTTCATACTTCCTAAAACATTTAGAGTCTGTGACCTTGAAGTCCAGCATCAATGGACTTTTGAGATGCAAATATTATGCTTCCCATTGGAAAAGGATTTAATCTCTCCAGTAGGCAACTCGGGCTCTAACTGTGCCTTATAAGCACTGACCTTTTCATTAGTCCTGGACTACTCTTGGATCTTACAGTACCTTAAACCACTAGCTGGGGGAAGGAGTGTGAAGTGATGTCCATATTCAGTGAGAAGAAAGAATTCTTTTCTTACAGAAGGTTAAGTTGCTGAAGAATGATGCCCATTGAAAACTCTGCAGAAACATTAGAGGAAGTTCTCTGGTTGACTGCAAGAGCACAAATCACGCAGGAAAAGGTGGCAGAAGTTGCCATTTGATACCCTATTGGCTCTGTGGATTTTCTGTTTTATATCATGACTCAGGAGCAAAGCACAGTGGATGCACCATGGGGCAAAACTTAGTTTTATGCACAGCTCTACTTTAGAATTTTTTAACAATTGTGAGGCAGTAAGGGGAAGGAAGCTGAAGTGTTGGTTGGCCCCTATGTGTGAGTACTGTTGCTGTGGGGAGAGCTGCCTCTTTTCTGGCTGCTGCACAAAGTTTGAGGAGCAGAAGAACCAGGTGCTTCAAAGCATCTGCTTGAAGGCTCCTTTGCAAAGGTCACTTGTCAGAGCCATGTGAAAATTTCACTGCATGTAGATCTAAATAATTAATGACTACACAACACAATCTTTTAATTTACATATATCAAGCTTTCAGCACCCTGCAGACAAACTCCAGCATCCTTACCAGTCTGCATAGCTTTGCTCAGTACCAAAAGATGATCAACAAGAACTCATTCTTTTTTTGCTGGTATTATTCAAAACTGTGCCAAGTCTTGGATGCATCTTAGTTTCAGTCATCAGATTAGCCATACTTAGTGGTTCCAGGATAGGATATGTTTCTCTTGCCAAGGACAGTTTATTATCCACTGATTTTTTTTTTTTTTGAAGGAAACACTACCTAAAAAGAATTTAATGAATCAGCTGCCCACAAATAGTGTTGCCTTCAAGGTGAAGGTTGTCATTCAATGCAAGCTTCCAAAGATTTTTTAGTACCTGTTAAGCACATGATGCCTGTCTGCCTTACCAAGTAAAAATGCTGACCCAACCAACTCTTCAAAACTGTTTCAAACTATAGGTTTTACATAATTCTGTACCTAGATGTCAGTCATGAATGCAATGTGGTACTTCCTCAGCAGGTAATAGAGGTCATAAATATGCACTAATTAATAAGAATGAGCATTAATAATGAATAATGATGGGCGTTTTCTGTTCTTTTCTAAACCTTTCTCAACAATCACACTTCCAGAACTTGTGTTTTGACTTGCTCATGGTTTAATCTATCAGTTGTAATTTTTTTCACTAGAATTTGATAAATACTCAATGTAAATACATCTACTATGCTCCAGGGTGTTGTCTTTAATAAAAGGGGTTTGTCTGCTACTATTTGAGGTCTTACTGGACACCTGAGTTAAGTAAATTTATGTATTTTAATCTTAGCATCTAACTTTGTAATATATAAATATTTGTCCAAATTCAAGATTTTAAATAAAAGCTTGTACAATTTTATGCTTGCATGTCTTCTCAAATGTTAAACCAAAACAGCCAAACAGATAAAGAAGCATCTCACTGCCTCCTTGGGTATACGGGTATATTATTCTTCTGTTTTAGTCTCTTCTTTGGAAACAAATGCAGAAGCTGTCTAAAAGTCAACATTAGCATGCTGTTAGCACAGATGTTTCCAGGTCTAAGTATAACTTATAAGACATTATTATGGAAATTTCAGACACTACTTTTTGCTAACAGCAAATGATAGCACTTTAACAGCAACCATATGTGTGTATTGATCGGTTGTCTCAACCTTCCCTCGCTCTGGGCGTGTGTAAAGAGCAGATGTCCTTTGCACAGCACATTCCTTCTCAGAACACAGTTTTAATGAAGGTTCAGTATGAACACACTCTCAACAGCTATAGGCAGGCAGAGCATGGCATTATTAAAACATCATTCATGCTTTGAACTTCCTCTGCCCTGTTACACTTACTGTAAAGCCCGGGAGCTTTTCCATTTTCAACAGCCCCACCTCACACCGTGCCCGAGGAGGGCACAGAAAGATGCACCATGTATTGACTCACAGTAAATATCACCCTGAGATTGGGACAGCTCATAGCAGACTAAGAGGGACAGTTCTGGAACATGAGCTGTAATTTAAGTAAAAATGGGGTTCGTGGTGACCCATAACCATTTCCAATTTTGGGCCACATCATGCCAAAGAGATTTCTTGAAAGGTAAAGAAGGGCACCTTTTACAATTTTTTCTTGGTAAAATGGGTCTTCCTTGCCTTTCCCCAGTCCCCGCTGCAGTCTGTGTAATTTCAAGAAAGTTTATTTAAAAGGTGCCCTGAAAATTGAATGCTCAACCTCAATTTAAGTCTTAAATCTTGCCTCAGAAACCTTCATAATGTAATAATTAAAAAAAAAAAAAAACACAAACCAAAATCAAACAAAATGACCCCAACCGTAAAACCAACCCAAGCAAATAGAAAAACCTAGGAAAATTCCTACTTTTTTTAGAAAAAGCAGCTGAACTATGAAATGCACTATTTGCATGACTCCAGTTCAACTGTAATCCCCAGTATAAAGATCCTCTGTATTTAAGAGCTGGTATTTGCCAACCCCTCCTTGGGGGCATCGCTCCGCTCCACTCTCCTCATGCTGCATTTAGCAGAGCTACTATTTGTGGTTGCAGCCTCTTCAAAGCTCATTGTGCCCATATTTCAAGTACAAAAGCCAAAGTAACTTGCAGTTTCTCCCTAAGCAGTCCCAGTGTTTTTGGATAGATTGTATAATGCAGCTCAGACTCATGTGCTAATTGTTAATTTTAGAATTCAAATAGGTTTTGTTCTATTCAAAGGAAGTAGGCTACAGGTTTCTGAAAACTCTAAGCTTAGGAAAAAGGGTCTGGTCTCTTTTAGAGTTTGTGAGTGAATTAGCTTTTGCATCCATGGAGATACCCTTAAATGATACTTAATACAAAAAACTCTAATTCGTACTTAATGTGTATGCTTTTCTGGACTCTAAAATAAGATTACAATTATTTTTAAGGTACATTATCTCAAAAAATTATGGAATATTACTTGTTTATATAAACATAGATTTTTTCCTAAGCCAGTAATGGTGGTATTCTGAACTGGAGCTCTCTATGTCAAGCTGTTTCATTTTGAACAATCTTGTTCCTAACACTGAAATGTTCTTCTATTCCTTTCTGAGTCAGAACCTTATTTATTCCTGTTATCCATCCATTTACAAGTGACTGATATTTATACACTTTGCTTATTTCCAACTGCAACAGATTTTTAAAAAGAGGGTTTTTTAATCTGCTGTTAGGCTGCTTTTTACATTATATGGCAGAAACCCAACCATATCTGTCTATGTGGTTTCCAAATTAAACTTAGTTTCCAATAGCAAAATTAGACTCAGATGTAGGTTTTTAATTTGGATTAACTTAATTTGGCAGTTATAAGTGACAGGAGGATTGGAAAGGCAAAGAAAGAAAAAGTTGGCTAATTTCAATGAGGTATTTGTGTATAACTGTGAGGGCTAATAATGCCCTTTTTCTGCATCCTGGTTTGGTTTATTTTCTTTTATGCCATTATTTGTGTTTAGTGAACAGCTGGGCCAGTAGTTCCCATTTGTAGTCCTTTAGCTCTGTGAAGTAGCACAGAAAGTAATGGACGCTTGCAAATTAATGCTTACCCTTATTTTCTGCTAATCTGGTGTAGCTCTCCTTTTGGAGCGTAGATGTAATATCAGAGCAGAAGTAATTACTGTGTTAAAACTAGGATTGCAGTAGAATATTTTGCTAATTAAACTTGTTGCATTTAAATTGCTTCCTTTGGATCACTATATAGAAGAGAACTATTTTGAACAATAAATGAAACCACTTTCTTTCTCAGAAACCCAGAATTGCAGATGGTCAGATTGTATGTGAAGCACCTAGGCTCTGAATTAGGCTTTTGTATGAAAGAGAGAAAGGTAATTTGAATGTTTGAACTCCCTGTTCCTCCCACACATACACAGGAAGCTTGCCTCAAAATGAACAATTCTCTAAATAAAGACTAATAAGAAGCTAAATTAATTAGAAGGTGTGATTTGAAAAGACATTGATGAGAAGAGTCTGTCATTTCAGACAAATGGAATGGAGCTAAATAAATTAGGCCACATTAATATCTCATTGTTCTGTGAGCAGCTTTCTTTTATTGCATTCATTAGAGGGTACTTCTTGAAATGAGCCTTTACTAGCCATTATGGATTCAGTTCTCATTTACCAATGCCTAACACACAACTCCTGCATTAAAAATGTTTCAGCAAATCCTCATAGTTTCTGCAAATTAATATTTATATTTCTGGATGCTGTGCTTTTCATCTGCAACATAGTAGGCATTGAACATTAAGTTTTTTTCCCACTGAATTGTCAGTAAAGGATTCTTACATCTAGAGAGTTGAGAAGCAAAAGTCTGAAAATACTTTATAAAATAAACTATATGCATAACTTGTACAATAGAATATTCCTACAACTAATATTCTTTCCAGTATTTATTTTGATAGAAAATATCCTGTCTCATGACTTCACTAGTCCTTTGATAGCTTTTTAAAGTGTCTTTTAAAAGGTTCCTTCAGCATATAATTAGGATCCATTGGAAATGCGCATCTCATCACACTGTTCTTCCTCTCAGAAAACAAAATGTATATTTTTCCTTTTCTTTTTCTCTCTCCTGCAGATGGAATATTTGGGAGATGTCAGCGAGTGCCAGTAATAGACATCTATAAATATGACATTTCACCCCCTGTTCTGCAGCATCTGAAGATCATCCTGGAGAAGCTCTCACACAGAGGTACAGTAAAAACTCTGGAGTGGGGTTAGATGCACTGGGGGTTAAAATTCTTTGTACTCCCTCTGAGGTGATGTCTCCAGAAGTTTTTGAACACAATGTATTTCAGGCCCTGCAGTGCAGACTTTATAAAAGTAAAAAGCCTTTGGACTCACTGAATCTGCCACAAAGTCCTGGGGAAGCAATTCCAGGAGAGGTACTTCCTCCCTATGCAGCACATGTCTGTGACTGACACTATACTAAAAAATTTTAGGGTCTGTGAATGCTGGTATTGTATAAAGAAATCAGCAGGAAGGAAAAGAAGTTTGTCAGGTACACTTTTGCCCCACAGTGTGTTTCAGGGTGTATGGGCAGAAAACACAGAACTTCCAGTTAGAGGGAAACAGTATTTAACTTTCAAGTGAATTCAGATAAGCAGAACTGCTCTGATTTCATTACAAATTGTATCTAGTCTGTTCCTTTTAATTTTTGTTCAGCTTTCCAAAGATAATCTCTGTGCACTTTCCAAAACCAGAAAGGATGTTCTAGCTTCTGAATGGCATAACTTGAACTAACAAATCAAAACTTGGATAAAGTGAAAGTCAATAAGGTGAACAAACCTTTTAGATACTAATACATGAGCTAAACCACTTGTACACAGCCACAGGACCAAGAAATCTTTGTATTCTAAATTTTTCCAAGAATATTGTTGGAATGGTTGATTTTGCACTTGCATCATCTGTGTGGATGTTTGTTTCTAAATACTTTCCAGTCACAATCTTGATTGCAAAGTAGGAATATTGTATTAAGATGATGTTAGTTCAATGATGAGAGAAAATTGATTTCTCAGAAGTTTGAGGCTATACTCAGGGACTGGACTTCTAGTTTGGAAATCACTGATTTAGAGGATTTAAAAATTTTCCAGGCATTTATTTCCGGTCCAGCAGCCCTTCCAAATGAGACAAACTCAGCAAAATTTGATTGTAGTAACTCCTGGCTGATTAACAGTCACATGTGAATAGTACTTGTGGCTCTTTCACTTGTCATTTTCTAAAGGCTAAGTAATGCAAGCAGATTTATGAAAATACTCTTTTGTCAGGGCAATACTGTGTGAGTGGAAAAAAATAGTATCTGGTCGCTTAATATAATGAGGAAGGTGAGGTGGGGGAAGCACTAAGTCACCTAAATTGGTATCTGAAGTGATCCTGCATGCATGGACAGGCAGCATCATTTACATCTCCTGACTATGGGTGGTGTGTACTATGTAAAGCTTCCTCCACGAGGATGTCAGAGGTAAGAGATCTGCAGGAGACTGATGTTCCTCTGAAGGGTCACATATAGCAGGTGATGGGATACCCTAGGTCATCTCAAAGGATGCTTACCTGTCTCTGTCTCCCTGCTTACCATAAGATTTTGGGTAGTGCAATGGAATTGTTGTAACTTCCCCCTACCAAGTGCTTCTCTGATAAATAAACCAACCCTTTCTAGGATCTTTGTTATCTTCAACCCACCTCTCTGAATTTAACTGTTGCAGAAAACTGCAGTATACTTCTTTTAAAGAAACTTGGACTCTTAAATTTGGTCTTGTCTCAAGAAACACACAGTTTGAAACCGTGGTAGAGAATAAAGGACTTTTGCTTTTATCCTTTTTTATTTGTGACATTTAGAGGTGCATACCCAAATGTGTATATGCTTTGAACTGATACAAAACTCTGCAAGCAGTTTTTGTGGCCTGTGGGTATCCCAGTGAAGGGAATCTTAAATATATCTGTGAAAGATAACAGAATGCTGGAATGCTTTTGCTCAAATGATTGATGTGATAAAATCACTCTTTTTTTTTTTTTTTTTTTTTACTCTCAGTATCTTGGCAAATTTTGTTTAGTGAGGACAGAAATATGGAAGGAGTAGAATCAATACAGGCTATCAGATTAATGGATTACTGACATCAGGTTGCTCAGACAAGATTCTGCTGTTTGCTGGTGCTATCAGATGTAATACATCCAGCCCTCAGGTCATGTTTTCTGGCTGTGATGGTCACTTGCAGTGTTAATGCTGTTCTCCTGCAAATTGTGTGCAACATGGGATGACCATTTCTGCAGTGTAGATAAGCAAGACATTGTCAAGACCATGCAAATATTTCAGGCAACCACCAAAAAGGGCTTCATTTTTTCTGAGATCTTATTTCCTTTAACTATGTAATACCCCATTCTTCTTACCATCTCCGAAATACTGTTGTCTAACTCATCTTGGTGTTGCCCACCTTCCCTGGAATGAAAAGGATAGGGGACAGCATCTGTTCTCTCCTTTTTGTAAAGAGCAGACAATTTTCTCTTGAAAGACTATATAGTAGGCCTTATGATTAGCAAAAAAATTCTTTTTTCTCCCCCTAGCAATAGTCTGTTTACATCTATTTCCATAGAATTTAAAAACAAAAACAATAGAAAACCTCACAAAATGTACTTCCTTTTTCTTCCCTATTTGCTGGTGGCTTGTAAGTGATACCTATATTTGAATTGTGGTCCAAACAGAAGAATGTCTGGTGAGATGTTATAAAACACAGGACAATGTGGTGTGAATAGTAAACAGAATTTGTGACTCTGCCAACTCAAAACATTTACTACAATAGGGAAGCATAGGACAGAGGCTTAGATGAGTGACACACCTGATGATAATCTGTTTAATAAAGGACTATGACTAAAATTGAATTCAGGTTTCATAATGATATAGTTTTTATGTCTTCTTTACACATTGAGTCTATCTTTGTCTACACTATCTACTAGTAGATTGATGATAGAAACGAATGCCTTGGAATATTAGATAGTTCTCTACGATGAAATGATCTATTAGCATTCAAATACCCTTGCTTATGGCATTTTCACTCCCACTGTCCTTGAAGCAGTCAAACCCTCAGGAAGAAGATTTTCTGAAGGTTCCATTTCTATAAGTGTGACTGTCTGTATGGGAAAAACCCTTCTCACCATTGCTGAAACACGATGAATCACTTTCCGAAGCTGGTGGTGCTATAGTTTATAATTTATAATAATTTGTGAGGAATTGAAACTTTTCTCATTGTCTGATAAACAGGACAGTCAGAAGGATGGGACTAAATAATTTGAAAAGGGAAATATTGGAAGTATCAGCATAGAGGGGTGAATGAGTAGTGCCTGAAGGAAAGGGAAATACTTATCCCTCTGGTTGGTCTTTTGCTCTTCTGCTTCACCTTGTCCAACTTGGAAGAAGATACTTCTTGGAGTGTACCAAGAATGATAAAACTATGCATTTCCTGGTTTGAGCTAAAATACAGAAAATATTTTTTTTCTTTACTTAAATGCATTCAATCGACTATAATTTTTTTTGTTTGTTTTCTTCTTGTCATGACAATATTATTGTAAAGGCAAAATGATCACACCACTGAGATTCTTAGCATGACTGTGGAATGGTTTCACATTGATTACGGACCTATAAACCATGAAAAACAGGATAGGAGGGCTAAACATGGGACATTATAACTCCAAGTATGAAGCATAAATAGTACTTGAATATCACCATAAGCAGTAATAAGGGAGAACAGTAGTATTTCTCGACCTGGTTACTCTAAGAGGCATTTACATTTGCTTCATAGAATAATTTCTGACCCCTGGTTAGAAACAGCACCATGATGATAACACGGTGCTAACTCTGTGAACGTGCAGCTGCCACAGCAATGAGCGTCACTTGGCAGAGGAGCTCGGAGATGGAGGCTGAAGGACACACCTCCTTAAAGGCATCAGAACAAGGATATTTGCAGAGGGTCACAACAAACCCCACCTGACACGGGATTCTGCCTCTGGGAGTGGGCACTACATGTTTGGAGAAAAAAACATAACGAAAGTCCAAGCGCACCTTTTGCAGTGCTCGTACCTTCTCAGCGTTATGTGCTTGGTGTCACACGGGTTAGGAGACAGAAGTCATATTTTTGTGTTTGCTGTGTGCTCTCTGGGCACTGTTTCTAGCGCAGTTTGACAGGACACTCTGTATTAGAAATAAACCTTGTTAGACTAATAATCAGTACTTCAGCTTCTGTCTTGTGTTTTAGTTAAAATGTAGCTACACTACAGCTATTGTCCCTTTAGTGCAGGAACCGTGCAGTGTGACTATTTGAAAAACAAAGCAGCTGAATATTTTTTTGGGGCTTTTTTATGTGACTTGGAATAATTCCTAAATAATTCCTCAGTATGCTTGCTGCTACTTAATTTTTGTGGTAACACCTTCTTGTTCAAAATGTTACTTTCAATGAAAGCAGTTTATTTCACTCTATTAAGAAAATCCTGCTTAAGGTATTCAAAAATCAACAGTGTTATTAAGAGAACAGTAGGATATGCTTTTAAATTCATGTAGCTTAAGTTGGTAAGACATTCTGGAGAGGCTCATGGGCTGTGGAAATTGGCAACAGATTTACAGACTATTTGAAAAAAACAACACTTTTTTCCTCTTACTTGATTTCTTTGCAACTCAGGAAGTTCTTGACAGGAAGAAAAAATTATTTGTCTGAAACTGATTTGAAGCAGTTAAGTGTAAGGTGATTAATATAACTTTGCTAGAAATAATTTTATATTCTTACAGCAAATTTGTTTAAAAAACTGAAGTGATTTACAATCAGTTAACTTGAAAATTGAAATGAATGTGACTTGTCACATACGGCTTGTGAATTACAAAAGGGTTGCTAAACATTTCTTTCAGTCAGGACTATTTTTCAAGGAAAAGTATCATTTGTTACTGCAGCAAAGGTAAGACTTGAAAGTAAACCTTTATAAGCTCAGTTTTGAAATAAACTTAAAAGGAATAATGCAGTTCTTGCACATATTTGTGAGCAGATTATCATATCATTATGGAGGTGTACAGAAAGCTGCAACCCAGAAAGGTAGGAGAAAACAGGTTTGTCTTTAAATTCAAATATTGATATAAATGAAGGCAAACTCTTCTTTTGGCAGAGAGCAGTGTGTTTACATCTGATTTCCTGGGCATCAGCTTGCTCCAGACATCTG